GACTCTGCAAAACTACAGGAAGATCTAAACAAATTTTTCGAATGGTCGGAAAAATGGCAGATGAAATTCAATGTGGACAAATGTAAAGTACTCAGTATAGGAGATGTAAACAGGGAAACCAGTTACCAGATGAACAACGATGCCATTCTGTGAACACAATGTGGGTCAGTGCTGCGTCAAACCGTCTCTCCTAAAATGCAGGAAGATTAATCGCATTCTCGCTTGTGAACACCGAGGTAAAGAAGCTCTTCAATGCCTCAGCTTTATCCTGGTCAGAATCTGCGTAACTACCATCTTCAAACCTCAGGTCTGATACTCCTACTCGCGTTTTTAATTTCGAATTTGCGTAGTGGTTAAACGCCTTTGGGTTTGACTTGACCTCGTTTGCAACCAGCCTCTGGAACTCCTTTTCAGCCCTTCTACAGGAGCAAACATACACGTGCTTAAAGCCTATTACATGGCCGCCATCAGATCGCTGGTAGATTACAGTGCTCCAGCACTCATTGGACTGAGAGAAGACCAGATAGCTAAGCTAGAAGTTATACAAAATAATGCTCTCAGGACCATGCTCGGAGCACCCATGTGGACTATAATTTGCAATTTGCAAATGGAAACTGAACTACCACCCCTGGCAATACGGGTCAAGCAGGTGACAGCCGGTCTCCTTGCCAAAATCTGTAGACCAGATAAGCCCACAGCTGCCAAAACGCGAATCAGTACCTCCCTCCACCTCGACCACAGAGTGCGAGGGGCCACCTGGTCGCACGAGGCAAGCGAGGACATCCGACACCTGCAAGCAGAAACACTCGTCAAGAACAACCAAGACACACGAGACAATGGTTACGTTGTTCCTCCACCATGGAGCCCTCCACCAGCCACATTCAAAATTACCGAACTAGGTGATAGCAAAGCCAACCTCCAGAAGAAGGACCTCAAAAGAATAACTCTGGAAGCCATAGCCACCGAGACACCGGCTGATGCAGCATCATACTTCACAGACGGCTCGGTGGACCCAAAACATCATATATCCTGAGCGGCCTTCTACACCCAAGGTCAGACCCTCCTATGGAGACTTTCTAATGACTGCTCCACCCTACAGAGTTGGTAGCAATCTCAAAGGCCCTACAACATGCTGCAACACAACACAACAAGTCCATCATAATTCACACCGACTCGAAAACGGCCATGCAGGCGCTGCAACACAGTCAACCAAGAGACAGCGTCCACATCATAACCTCGATCCTCACACAGCTACAGGACTTCCAAAGACAAAATCGCCCAGTCGTCTTAAACTGGATTCACAGTCATGTAGGGATTGGGGGAAACGACATGGCAGACGAAGCAGCCAAGGCAGCCACACGTTCTAGAAGCGTACACATTCAAGTTCCAGCAAGCGTGCAACAGATCAAGAATCACCTCAGAAAGACTACCACATCCAAAAGAGCTTTCTTCACGCATTCAACGCTGGTTCCCAATCAGCAAAATGGTACCTGGCGGCTACAAAAGGGGAACCACCTTTCGTGGACAAGAAAACACCAAGACAAACCCAAGTTACCCTTCATCGACTACGACTAGGGTACAAGTGCACTTGGCAGACGATCGGAAATGTCGTCAGGGAATGCACCTACTTTCAGGAGCCAGCGGCCAACCCACTGGAACACTATCTCCTCGACTGCGAAGTCACGCATGGTCTCTAAAACAGAATTCGAAACTTCCAAGAACACACAACACCAGCGGCCACTCTAACCCGAAAGGCCCAAACAAACCACATTCACCACCTTCTCCGGGTCATCACACGATACCCGCCACCCAGATAGCTCAGAAAGTATCCTCCCCCAGAAAGTGTGGACCCCAGTTTGGGGGGCGCGCCACTCCGAAACTGACCACGTCCAAGAGTGGGGGTTGGTGGTAAGCGTTCACTGACCGAGGGTCCGCTCACACTTGCAAACCTGCAGTATCCTTTCATAACTGCAGGTAGGACAACCTCCAATCCCAAATCCGGTTTGGCTACTCCAAGTGCTCCGGCCGGAACCACGAAACGGGTCACCTACAGGCAAAGTCCTACAATCTCAACAACAATCTCAACAACAGCCGTGGAAAATCATTCTACTCTACTCTCCAGAACTAGCAAGACCTCCCAACAAGCTCCTCACCAACAAGCTCCTCAACAAGCTCGTCACCCAACAGGACCTCTGAGCAAGCTTCTCACCACACAGCAACTCCCTAGCACTGCACTGTACATACAATATATATACAGAGAACGCATTGTGAGTTTCTATTCTTACCTCCATCCTGAGTGTGAGATCTCTTACATGTACGTCCGTATGTGAGCCCATACAAAGAGAAATAACAAACATAGAGAAATTTGACAACTGGCCACATACAGTACGCTACAATTGGTGACCCCCGGTGTACAGTACCCTACAACCCTTCTTCCCACGCTCGATTTGGTCAATGAAAAATCCAACCCAATGCCTAGCTTGATCTGCCCGCTACCTACCGAGCTACATACTGTCCAGGGGATCTGGTGGCAGCGACCTTAAAATTAAGAGTAGAATTAAGTTATCCCCTTAGAATTAGTTACCCCAGAATCGGGCAGTATAACAGCTCAAGACTGAAGAAACCGCAAGTCCAGAAAACTGTGAGGGTACCACAGGGCAGTGTATTGGGCCCGCTGTTGTTTGTTTGTTTCATAAATGACATGCCTGACGTTGTACACTCCTCCATACAAATGTTTGCCGATGACGCCAAGTTATTTCGGGAAATTAAGAACCAAGCGGACTGTGAAGAGCTGCAGAAGGACCTCTGTGGGCTCCAGGAATGGTCGAAGAAATGGCTGCTGAGATTCAATGTCACGAAGTGTAAGAGGATGCACCTGGGCCGTACCAACGGTAAGGAGGCGTATCATATGTCCCAACGGGATGATGAAACTGCACTAGTTGAGACTGTGTGTGAGAAGGACCTAGGTGTGTATGTTGACATTGAGCTGAAGTTCTCGGGCCATTGCGAGAGGAAGGTAAATCAGGCAAATAAATAATTGGGTCTTATAAGAAGGTCGTTCAGATATCTAGACGGTCCGTCCCTCGTAACGATCTTCAGGAGTGAAGTGCTTCCCCATCTGGAGTACTGTCACCCCATCTGGTCCCCGAGATATGCTAGGGACTGTCAGTTGGTTGAAAATGTTCAAAGGAGGGCCACCAGACTGGTGCCTGCACTTCGGCACCTCAGCTACCCTGAGAGATTGGAGCGCCTGAACTTGCCTAGCTTATACTGTAGACGGGCAAGGGGTGACCTAATTGAGGTGTATAAGCATCTCAAGGGGCACTACTCAGTCGAGTGTCCTTACTTGGAGCTGGCGGACGCTCGCCCCACAAGGGGTTACAGCTCAAGATTGAAGAAGACGCAAGTCCAGAAAACTGTGAGGGCAAACTTTTTCGGAGTGAGAGTTGTGAACTCTTGGAACAATCTACCAGAAAGTGTTGTGACGGCACCGAGTGTGAGCTCTTTCAAGACAAGACTTGACCAACACTGGAGCGGGTTCAGGTACATTCAGGAGCCGGTGCATGCCCAGTACTTGCCAACAGTGCTTAACAGAGACGTGACCGGTCGCCCAATCGGCTAACGAGCCGATCATTTAGTGAAGAGGATAAAAGAAAGATAAAAGTAACAGAGACGTGACCGATCGCCCAAGCGGCTAACGAGCCGATTAGTGGTGAAGAGGATAAAAGTAAAAAGTAAAGGTAACTAGTTATGCATTTTGGGGATTGGGGCAACCAAGAATACGCCTAATCTTATCCAGCTTAACAATCTGATACCATACTAGGTTTTAATATTTACTATTACCGACTACATATTTTAATTATGCTTTATCTTTTCAATGATAACCGTTTTTCATTTAAATATTATGAGAAATATCGGACATCGGAAGTTTGGGGGAATTTTTGCCTCTGTATTTGGGAAATTTTAGGTTACACTGCCAGTCTGGCAAAACTGCCCAAGCGGCGAACGAGTCGATCAGTGGCAAAGAGACTCTCGCCCTCTCCCTGAATCATCTCAAATCTCGCATACACGCCACACAACGAGAGGCATTCAACGAAAATTGGACACACCTGAAACAACGGGGTAGCGTCACACTATGCCACTATGACGCTGTAACCGGTGACGACAACCGCCACTACAGAGAATATCAATCCCTGACTCGATCTCAACAGCTTATATACATGAGACTGCGCCTAGGGTACAGGTACCTATGGGAGTACATTGGCAACCCTGAGCCTCACCGCACTGTTTGTAAACTTTGTGGCCAACCCGACTCTCACACCCTCTCTCACTACATCCTCACTTGCCCTATGACCTCCTCCTATAGGTCCCCAGCCGTTACCAACACCTCTTCCCTCCCAGACCAGATATCCCTCCTCCTAGTCACAGGCCTGGCATTTGACATTATTAGGGACCTGCCACTCTTTGCCATAAACAGATAAAATGTACCGGGAACTTTCCCCCCACACACTCATCATTCTCTCACTTTATGTAACTTGACAAAACCTATGACCCTTCAGGCTTTTACGCCCTTAATGTACGAGTCATACAGGCAAGTATGAACTTTTCATACTTCCCTGTTGGGCGCTGTAAACCCTTCTGCGCTTCACCTTGCACAGGATGTAAGGGGGTGCCCAATAAACTAGCCCCCTCGGGGGCAAATCTGAATCTGAATCTGAGTGGCAAAGAGGGTAAAAGTAAAAGTAAGTAACTAAGAAGTGTATCCTCAAAACGTGGATTTCATTTATAATTTATGAAAATTTGCTCTTTATATATAATGTTTTCTTTGTCGTTGTTAAGCAGAGAGTTTTATCTCTCATATATTTTTATTTTATTGTTGTTGGACAGTTGGACTAATGTATTACTAATTTGATTAAAGACTTTCTTTGTTAAAACGAGTAATAACCAAGATACATTGATAACAACAATAATATTGCTATTAGTATGTGTTCGGGTTTGAGGAGGATGGGGTTGAGACTAAGTCGCTGCTAGCCCTTGCATGGACCACGTCGTTTCATCATCGTCTGTTAGGAAGAAATTAAAATGCCGTATGTGTTAGTGGGACGAACAACCAACTTCAAGGGCAAAAGGTTTGTAATGTAGTGCAAAATTTGTAGAATATATCATGATACCATAATTTATAAGGGTAAACCTAGAAAGATCGATTAGTCATTTTTACGTACCGTTAGTGATTATGATTGTACTTTTGAATTTATCCCAATCCCAAAAAAATGCATTGCATGTATAAACAACTAATTATATAATACAAAAGTTAAAGTAAAAGTGTAGACAATTGCTACCACCAGAAGGAGTTTGTTGAATTTCTTGATTTTTGCTATACTTATTGTTTTGATGTTTTTAAGTATATTAAAAGAAACGACAACTTTCTATTATGATATTTAACTATTTTTAGGATTTTTTGTAAGTACTCTATCCTACGATCATAAATTCCCTGTTAGTGGGCAGGGCATGAAGAATGAGGGAAATTACGAAAATTAACGCCGAGGTTTAATATTCGTTAGTTGTAATGCACGGAAATCTTATGTTAATTCTCATATAGGGAGATGGAGCAATACAAAAACAAGACTACTTTATAACGTTTCCATCGACAATTTTAGTTTTCGAGAACACAGCATTGGAAGTGGTAAAGGTGGAGCAGACAGCACCCAAAGGCAGTATATTTTGTTCAGTAATTATTGACGACTAACCCGCTGCCGATGTTTCATAATTTTTTTTTTTTAATTCTGCAATTTTATTGTGTTTGGTAAATATTTGTTTAATGGCTGTGGTTCCTTTTTGTTATGAGAATAGTTTTTCTTGTGTATTTAGGTGTGTGTCACTTAAATCTGACCTAACCTAACCTAACCTAGCCAAGCCTACCTAACCTGGTATTATAACCATTTCGATCATGCAGCGAATTTTAGGATTTTAAGTTTCGACCAAGAAAGGTTTAGGTTGGTTGAAATTATGTTTGGTTAATATAAAGGACTAACCCGCCAGGACTGCATAGCGCCGATGCGGCTGTATCATCTCACGTTCAGAAAATGCCTCAAATTCCACCAAATCATAGTAAGTTCTTTCTGTTTAATATACCGAGGAAGTTAGGTAAGGTTAGGTAGGTTTGTTTGGTTTGGTCTGTTAGGCCTGTTCTTCATTCCCACAAATGTTAAGTAGTGTTTATTTTAAAAATTTCCATTTTTTAACATATTTCCACAAACTACAACAGTGTCCACTATAATATAACAATGAAAATCAAGCTTTTTTTATAATTGTTTTCAATCAATTTCACACACTGGTTAGTCCTATATATACGTAATTACCTTATGTTTTTCTGATGGTTTTTGATGTGTTAAACGATTTTGACCTGTACTTCCAAATAGGTGCATGACAAATAATAATTTTACCCATAATCTAACCTAACCTAACCAAACCAAACCTAGGTCTTCTTATATCAGTGCACCGTTCTATCTCTCGGTGTTAGAAATATGTTTTTCCGAATGTTCAGACAATTCCAAGACATTTTTATTCTGTGGTATTTTTGTCGGAAATTAAGGTTTGGTTGATTTTTGGTGATTTTCTATGTTTTTTTTTACACAGAAAAAGGGGTAGGTTAAGTTAGGTTATATTTCTTTCAGTATTAGAAATATCATGGAATAAAAATGTTTTAGAATTGTCTAAACATTTGGAAAATCATATTTATTACACTGAGAGATAGAACGATGCACTAATATAAAAAGACTGAAAGAACGGTGCTCTACTATATATTGACCCAAACCGAACCTAACCTACCTAACCAAATACGAAAATCTTCTCGCAGTCATTAAACAAATATTAACCCTGTGTTTTATAATGGACACTGTGGTTATTTCTAAAATAAACCTAACCTAACCTTATTTAATAAGAAAAACAAGCAGCAGAAGCATTGGTAGAAGACCTCACCAACATAGCCAAAGAAACCTATCTAACCTTACCTAACTTCCTAGCCATGAGGCTCAACCCTCTGGCCCCCTTGGCATATTATACAGTAAGGACTTACTATGATATGGTGTAATTTTACGTTTTTTGTTGACATGAGAATAGCTGCATGGACAGTGTGGCTCATAAACGTACACTGGCGACTGGTGTCAATCGGAGATGAGTGGCTGTGTACCACCGCATCATATCAGAACTCACTGATGAAGATATAGTAGAATGTAAACATCAAAACAAATAACACTTCAGCAGGTTAGTCGGCAATATTAGCCATTTATTCATATTTTCCACAGTTGCTTGGATGAAACTAAGTTGAGCTGATATCATTTCATCTATCAATGAGGATCTGTGCTGCATCTCCAAATGGGAAGATAGAAACTTGGTTAAATTCAATTGTAATAAAACTCGGTATTTACCAATTGCACTTTCCAATTTAGATGGTCTCGCACCAATCAAATTTCAGGATGCAATCATTCTGCCAAGTTCTAAAATAGATATGCTAGGTCTCGCCATTTCCTCTAATATGTCATGGTAGCTACACATCCTCAACATTGCTAAAGCTGCCTCCCGAAAGCTGGGAACGCCGTACAGATGCCGTAGCTACATCACTCCTGAGCAGTTGCTTCAAGTTTATTGGGGATTCATTCGTCCTAACTTGGAGTACTGCTCTCATATCTGGGGGTGGCTCTTCATCTGTCCAACTGTTAGGGTAGATAGGGTGGAATCTAAGGCATTTTGTCTTATTGACTCTCCTCCTTTAGTTGATAATCTTTCTTCCCTTTCTCTTTGCCGCAATGTTGCTTCAATCTCTCTCTTTTACAGGAACTTTAACAGGCAATGTTCGGTGGATTTGGCATCCTGTGTACTGTTGCAAGGCTGTGGGTTCATAACACTCGTGTTGTCCGCGGTGCCCACAGTTTCTCTGTGGCTGTCGGTCACACTAGAATAACCCGTTATAGTACATCCTTCTTTCCTCACACAGCCAAACTGTGGAATACTCTGCCACCTTCTGTTTTGCCATACTCTTACAATCTATCTCACTTTAAAGAACTGGTTTTCCGGCAACTTCATCGTGTAGATTACAGGGCTGTCTCACTTATCGCAAAGGTTACGGGCATGAAACTCGATGCGAATATCAAAATTACGAATAGCGGAGCAATTTCTCCCATAAGAAATAATGTACAGTGGTCCCTCGGTTAACGAACGCCTCGGTTAACGAATTACCTTCCATAAGAATCTTCATTTTGGTTAACGAACAAAAATTCGGTTAACGGAATTCTTGCAAAAATGTTTCGACATGCTTTGGCTTGCTCACCAGCTGGAAGATTAGTCCGCCAATACAGAAATCGGTTCTAGGGCTTACATTCGTTAAAATTGGAGTAAATATCAAGAAGGTTGTACTATTCAATAATTTTCCAAGTTTTATATTAAAATAATTTTTAGTAATTTTAACATTTAACATTATTGCAGTACAGGGAACTAGTTTTTGGTGCGCCCATCAGCCACTTCACTCACCCACCAAGGCCTCAGTTTGTATCTCTGTTCAGTGGAGGAAACATCTTGCTTGTGGGTCTGTAGCATACTGTAAGTGGCCAGTTGTCAATTCTCTTTAGTTGTCTATTATCTCTTTGTATGGGCACACAAACGTACGTACATGTAGATATCTTCACTCAGGAATGAGGTAGGATAGAAACTCACGATGCGCTTTCTGTATATATATTGTTGTACAGCGCAGTGCTTAGGAGTAACTAGGTGAGGAGCTGTGAGAGATGTTGCTGGTCCAGTAGCCGAGTGTAGAGTGCTCTCCCTGGACAGGCATGGCCGTATTTATACAATTTACGAGGATCGGGATTTGGGATGCGTGTGGAGCGAGAGCCAATCACAGAGGAGAATGCCAGAAGTACCCGGCACTCTGATCCTGGCGTTGCTACGTGTGCGTCCGCACTGTGGAGTAGGTCTACCAGCGTCTCTGGCTGTACGCTGATTGGCTGGTAGGCGTGCGGGAGCTCAGTCATTAGTTGGAAGTTGTAGGGGAGAGGAGCCACTACAATACTTCCCCTCCCGGCGCGGCGGGAGGCTGGATGTTGTCCGGGTTGTGTCCCACACATAACACATACCGGGCAGGTGTACGTACGACTCGGCCGCTACGTGTAACAACTCCGTCTAGTGACACAAAACCTGTGGGAGAATTGGGGGGAGAAAGAGGGTTTGGGATTAGAGGAGGTTGTACAAGCAATGGTTGTTGTGCTCCTGTTGCAGCAGGGGCTGCGTCAGGAGGAGGGTCCATAACAGGAGCAGGTTCGATGACAGGAGGGGGGTCTATGACAGGTGCAGGTTCTATGACAGGAGGAGGGTCTATGACAGGTGCAGGTTCTATGACAGGAGGAGGGTCTATGATAGGAGCAGGTTCTATGATAGGAGGAGGGTCTATGGCAGGAGCAGGTTCTATGACAGCTGCAGGGTTCAGGACAGGAACAGGGGGTACCTGAGGGTGAAAAGAGGGTGCCCAGAAATGTCGTGGGCGTGGTGTTGCTGCCGGTGGTAACTGCGGGTAGACTGGTGTAGGCGTAGTTTGTTGGTGGTGCTGCTGGGCTGGGGGCCCAACGGGTAAGGTGGCCGGTTTGACTCGGTCTATGCTGACGGTGTCATGCCTGCCATTCCGGATAATCGTCAGGAACTTTGCTGAACGGGTAACCACCTGGAAGGGTCCATCGTAGGGGCGTTGTAATGGGTTGCGGTGAGCATCATGCCTGACGAAAACGTACTCGGCTGTGGCTGTGAGTAGTGCAGGAGGGATTTGTTCAGGGCGCCGAGGAGGCTGGCGTGGAGCAGTAGCTCTGAATGCAGAAACTGCTTGTCGTAGCTTTTGGAGTAAGTCGTGACGAACGGCAGGAGTGGTTTGGTGGGGGTCAGGAGGGAGTGAGAAATCCCCGGGTAGGCGAAGGGGCTCGCCTAGTGTCAGATCTGCTGGGCTACAGTCCATATCCTCCTTGTGTGACGCACGGATGCCGAGGAGCACTAAGGGAAGCGCATCAGTCCAGCTGTAAGGGTCGTGCTGTGCCTTGAGTGCGTCCTTCAGCTGCCGGTGAAAACGCTCTACCATGCCGTTGGCTTGAGG